CAACACACCTTAAAACAATCAATGGTTAAAAAATAAATCACAAGGAAATTTGAAAATATTTAGAGAAAAAATAAAATGGAAACCCAATATCTCTAAAAGTTATAGGATGCAATGAAAACAATACTGACATGAAAATTGATAGTCCTAAACACTTACTTTAAAAGAGAAGATCTCAAATCAACATGCTAATTTCACAGCTTAAGAAACTTGAAGAACAGACTACACACAAAGGTAATAGAAGGAAAAATAAGTGAAATAGAAAACAGAAAAACAGAAAAAACTCAACACAACCAAAAGTTGACTCTTTGAAAAGATTAACAAATTTGATGAACTTTTAGTTAGACTGACTTTTAAAAAAGTAGAGAGAGGGAGAACTTAAATTACTAAAATCAGAAATGAAATGGAGACATTACTACCAATCTTAAAGAAATAAAAATGATTATAAGAGGGCACTATGAGCTATTGTATATCAACAATTGGGTAACTAAATGAAATTGTCAAATTCCTAGAAACACAAAATCTACTGGGACTGAATCACAAGAAATAGAAAATCTGAATAGATCTGTAACTAGTATGGAGATCAAATCAGAAATCAAAAACTTCTAAAAAAAAAAAAACAACTCAGGATCAGATGGCTACTCTGATAAATTCTAACATACACTTAAAGAATTAACAGCAATCCTTTCCAAGATGTTCCAAAAAGTTGAAGAGGAAGGAACACTTTCTAACTCATTTTGTGAGGCCAACTTTACCTTAATACCAAAACCAGATAAAATCCCTAAAAGAAAATAAACTATAGACCAATATCCCTTATGAATATTGATGCAAAAATTCTGAACAATATACTAACAAACCAAATTCAGGTGCATATGAAAAAGGATTATATACAATGACCAAGTGGGATTTATTCCTGGAATGCAAGGATGGTTGACATCAATCAATGCAGTACACTAAATTATCAGAATGCATAAAACAAAAACAAACAAAAATTTATTGGTCATATCAATTGATGTAGAAAAAGCATGTGACAAAACTCAACACCTTTTCATGATAAAAATACTCAACAAACTAAGAATAGAAAGAAACTACCTCAACAAATAATGGTCATATATGAAAAACCCAGTTGCCATCACGGATGGATAAAGAAAATGTGGTTTATATATATACAGCAGTGATGAAAGACTAAAACTGTTTTTCTAAGATTAGAAACAAAACAGTGATACTCATTTTGCCCCTTCTTTTCAATATAGTATTGAAATATACCAGAGAAATTAGGAAAGAAAAATAAACAAAAGTCATCTAATTGGAAAGGAGGAAGTAAAATTATCTCTGTTCACAGATAATATCATCTTGTATGAGAAACACTAAAGGTTACACACACACACACAGATAAATTGACAAAAAAAATTCAGCAGAGTTGCAGGACATAAAAATCAACACTTCAGGGCGCCTGGGTGGCTCAGTCATCAAGCGTCTGCCTTCGGCTCAGGTTATGATCCCAGAGTCCTGGGATCAAGTCCCACATCGGGCTCCCTGCTTGGCAGGAAGCCTGCTTCTCCCTCTCCCACTCCCCCTGCTTGTGTTCCTGCTCTCGCTGTCTCTGTCAAATAAATAAATAAAATCTTTAAAAAAAAAAATCTTTAAAAAAATCAACACTTCAAAATCAGTTGCATTTCTATACACTAACAATGAAAAATCTGAAAAGAAATTCTAAAAAATTCCATTTATAATCATAGCAAAACTAATAAAATACTTAAGAATTAACCTAACCAAGAATGTGAAAGACTGTACAATGAAAACTACAAAATATAGCTGAAAGAAATTACAGAAGACTTAAATCAATGGAAAAACGTTCCCTATTCAGTGATTGGAAGACTTAATATTGCTATGATGTCAATTCTACTCAAAAGGATATGCAGATTTAATGCAATCCTTATCAAAATCCCATTGCCATTATTTTGCAGAAATAGAAAAACATTTTCTCAAATTCACATGAATCTCAAGGAACACTGAATAGCTAAAACAATCTTGAAAAAGAAGAATGAAGTTGGAGGACTCACACTGATTTATGAACTTACTACAGAGCCATAGTAAACAAAAGAGTGAGGTATAAGCATAAAAAAAACAACTAAAAAGCCCAGAAATAAATCCTTGCATATATGATCAAACGACTTACCAAAGGGTGCCAAGGGTGATCTCACTGCCATTCAGTGAGAGACAAAAATAATCTTTTCCACAAATGGTATTTGGAAAACTGGACATTCACATGCAAAAGAATGAATTTGAACCTTTACCGAACACCATATGCAAATATGAACTCAACATAGGTCAAAGATGTAAATGTAAGAGCTAAAACTATCAAACTTGAAGAAAACAACATAGAGGAAAGCTTCATGACTTTGAATTTGACATTGATTACTTGGATATGACAACGAAAGCACAGGCAACAGCAACAATAAATAGACAAATTAAACTTCATCAAAATTTAAAATTTTGTGCATCGAAGGGCACTATCAACAGAGTAGAAAAGCAACATAAATAATGGGAGAAAATATTTTCAAATCATATATCTGGTAAGGGATTAATATCCAGAATATATTTAAAAAAAAAATCTATCACTCAAAAATGAAAAAAAACAAAACAAAGCAACCCATTTCAAAACTGGTCAAATCTATATGGACATTTCTTGAAAGAAGGTATACAAATGGCCAATAAGCACATGATGTGATTCTCAACATCACTAATCATTAAATAAATGCAAATCAAAACAACAGTGGCTGTTAAAAAAATCAAAAATAGAAAATAGGTATTGTTGGGGCACCTGGGTGGCTCAGTCGGTTAAGCATCTGCCTTCAGCTCAGGTCATGATCCCAGGGTCCTGGGATCGAGCCCGCGTCGGGCTTCCCGCTCAGCAGGAAGCCTGCTTCTCCCTCTCTCATTTGCCCTCCTTGTGTTCCCTCTCTGGCTGTCTCTCTCTCTCTGTCAAATAAATAAAATCTT